AATATCTTGCAAACCTCTGGTATTTGTTTTGGGTCACTTCTACTGCATGTGTTGCGAGTAGTAGACTCAATGAACCGAGATTCAGTAATCAATCAACTACCTTTCCACCTACCTATATTATTCTTTAGAATTTCGACTCTGTCCCACCCACCGTATTGTGTGGTTGCGTGTTAATGCATGCAGTGCTATTGCAGAGTTATTTTTGCAAAATTACTAACCATCGTGGGATCAATCATTCTGACGTTAGCTACATACTTATTTTCTGGTAATCTCACTACTCCCGCTTGATCTACTAGTTTCATCTATGTAGTTCACCTAACTCACTCACAGTCATTGCAAGGTATTTTTTAAATTATATTATTTTGTTTAATTGGGTCATTACATTGGGTCTTTTAGGTTACAAAGCTTGTTCAATCTGAGTAGTGAGTTTGTAGGTTTGAATGGCTCCCTATGTGTACTTACATCAATAAGAGACAAACTCTTATTTTCTTGTTATATTTTCATTCTTGATTTGCTGAATTTTTTCTTATGACATCTGGCAGGAAGTCCTTTGAAATCAGTTTTTTATTTGTTTCTTCGTGATTTTTCACTGACATTGGTGAATGTATATTAAACAGCTTTTAGTCACTTATTGAGATTTTCAATCTACTACCTGAATCATCAATGGTAGCATCCACTTCTTTTGAGCCAAAAGGCTGAAACATATCACTTCTTCAACAATTGAGACATTGAAATGCTAATTCCGCGAGTATTTTTCCTCTTGTACTAATTAGTTTTGATTACTGTATCACCTTTAAGTTGTAGTAAGTAGACAATGATGGTAATCGTTAAACAGTATGGGATGGTGGTTCAGGCTTGTACGAAACTTGTTAGCAAGCTTGCAACGGATGCCTTCTTATAGTTTAAAGCAAGTTTCATTGAGAGATTAGAAAAAGAAAGACAAGTATGTGAAACTGAGTAGATCAATTCAATTCAATCCTCAATTCAAGTTTCTCCTTATAGTGATTTCATGAATAGAAGTTATACTGTCTGCAAAAGAGGTTAGACTTTAAAGTGAGAGATTAATAATTACCTCACTTAGCTGCCTGACTAAAATTTGGGTTGCTGAAAAAATCCCATTATTATGCACTGCATTGAATTTCTCTTGCCAACTTTATTTTAATCTACTAAAATATGACCTATAATGAATGGTATAATTTAATCTGCCGGGTATTTTGAAAGTGTTTACAACGTGCTGATTTGAAAGTTTCCAGTCATCTACAGAAACACATTCATCAGCCTGAAATCAATCTGGAAATCTTCATCACTCAGCCAGCATCACCAACAAAATTCGGATTTTCAATACAAACGTCAAGTCAGTCAGTTCTTCTATACGGATCAGAAACTTGGAGGGTCACAAAGTATATTTCCAAAAGGTTGCAGACCTTTATTAACAACTGTCTTCGCTGGATCTATACTGAAGATCAGATGGCCGGAAAGAATCACCAACAAGGAATTATGGGAACAAACAATGCAAGAACCAATCGCCCAACAAATATGCAGGAGAAAGTGGAGATGGATCGGACACTCGCTGAGGAGACCGCTGGGTGACATCGCGCGCTAAGCCCTCGAGTGGAACCCGAAAGGGAAGCGGCGTGTGGGACGTCCAAGGGTGACATGGGGGAGATCGTGTGAAGAGGAGTTGAAAGAAGATGGATTAACATGGATGCAGGCGAATAGTATAGCAGAAGACAGAAGAAAATGGAGACGTGCAGTTGAAGCCCTATGTTCCACTAGGAACCCAAGGGAGAAATAATAATAATAAATAATAAGTCATCTACAGGAGAAGGACAAATTAGGTGGTAATTTATCCTTATATATGAGCTAACCATCGTTGAGTTTTGTCTTTAGGTCTCAAAATCCACTTCCGAAATTTTGCGCATTTTTCAAAGGAGACAAAGAGGAAACATCATAAGTGGTCGTTGTGCCCTTCAGTTCAGACAGCACTGTGTTAAATAATCTACAGTCAGTTTTCATTATACTCGAAGATCATGGAAAAAGAGAAAATACTTTGCGTTAAACATAGATGTAAATTCTGGATATAGTGCGAACACCGATCAGAATAAGGCTACTGTTATTATTTTTAGCCATTTACGTCGGTAATTTCAATTAGTTACGAAGCATATATATTAAAATTAAGCTGATTTATATCATTTCACCAGGTCATGAGTGTGCGTCGGTGGCATAGCGGTTAAGACGCTCGCCGACAATGCATATGGTCCCGGGTTCGATCCCCGGCTACTGGACACACTCCTTTACCTCGCTAAGCCAGAAATATTGTTGGTAAAGAGGAAAGGTTGGGCATGAGGCAACCTCATCCTGTAAAATGAACACTGCTACAGAAAATATAAGTCACTAGCTTGAGCCCCTATGTTCCACTGGGAACATGAATTGAAGAAAAAACAAGATCATGAAGGAGCTCTGAATACGGTAAGTAATTTCCTAGTAATAGTGTTAAATAATTGAGTTTTGCAATGCTGATCTTGAGTCTGTGGTTGAATGGTTATTGCTTTTTACCTTGTGAACAAACAATTGTGAGATTAGTTTCCCAGTCTACAGTGTAGGTAAGTCGTGGTAAACAGTCCTTAACTGAGACAGAACATCTAATTATTGATTCTGGATATTTACTATTTCTCCAAAAATTGTAAGTTCCTAACAAAATGTCTCTGAAGTAAATGAACTCTGAAAAGAGTATAGTAGAGCGACTTTGAAATGAAGATATTTACAGGGTAGGGTCAAATGAAAACCTAGAGTATTTCCACTTTAAGAAGAGCTTTCTTTTGCGGCAAAACTAAACGTAGTGTTCTCCAGTGGCCCGCAGATCTGCAGAAGCCCATAGGACAAGATCTGGCACCTGACCACTTCTATATGTATATATCAGTTCACCTGCTGCTGTGGAGCCAGCTACATCAGTCGTTCAACGCGCATCCTGTCATTCAACCACTTCTACTATTATGGTAAGAACTCTGTTGATTTGACTTAATTTTTGCTTGTATACTTGTTTTTTTTTAACCGCTTAAATCTCTTACGTAATTCCGTATTTTATTTTGTTTCCATGTACATCGGCGCACAGCTCTATCATCAAACTATTCATGTTATTGCGTAACTCTTCTCTAGCAATCATTTATAACAACTCATTACTTTTCTTATTAACCTTTTATATCAACATACAATTTCTTTGAACGATTTTTGTATTGTGTAACTCCACCAAGAACTTACTAATTGTATTTTAGTTTGACCAATTTTAATGTACACACACATACAAAATAACCACATATATGTATATTTGTGGTTGTACAGCTATGAAAATGAATTCGCCGAGAAGTGACTCTTCGTTGAACTGCTAGTCTTTCACTGTATTATTATTCAAATGCGGGATTTTCATGAATTAAAAACCTAGGGAGTTTTAAAGAAAGTCACGTTGAAAATTTTTATTGCTTATTTTATTCTTTTGAGTTCTCAATGGAACATAGGGCTTCAAGTTGGAGCTTAGAAGTTTCAGTAGCTGTTTTGCTTTATTATACAGGATAGAGTTGTCAGTCTCAACTTTTCCTCATTATTTGACTTACTACCGGTTAAGTGAGGTGAAGGAGTGCATCAGCCGGGGATCGGACCCTGGTCTACTTAACATTATAGGCCAGTGTCCAACCACTAAGCCACTGACACGCTAAACCACGTTAGAAAAACTCACAACGAATGAAATTTATGGCAGAATTCAAAACACTTGCATTCCAATAATAACATTTATTCACATCACCTGTGGTGATTGTGTGGTGCCCCTGTATTAACTACTATGAAAGCGCTTCTAAAAAAAACTAATTTATGTTCCCATTTTATGCTTGTGCAGAAAGTAACTTTACATATACTTATCGAATATTTGTCATTGTATGACTGGACATTAGTTTTCTACTGTTTTATATATACTTTGAGTGGTCAGGCACTGTTGGTTGTTCGGTTTTGCTGACAAGTCTTAACTTATGCTTTTCAATACAACTTTGTTGGCATTTGGTCGTAAAAAGCGCTTAGCACATTCTATAAAGTGAAGACGTGGCTGTATTATTCAAATTCGAATGCAGTATACAACAAGTGGTGTTGCAAACTTTTCAAATTAGTACTTCTGGAATATTTGCATTTTAACTGTTGTGGAATTATATGTATTGCACAAATTAAACTTATTTTGTTTCTCAGCACTTTTTTCATGGATAATAATAGTAACTCCGATAGCGTGAGTCCCTTATCTTTATTACTCACAATATTCCAGTTTTTAAGCCACATTTTTGAATTGTTCGACTTGGATACTATTCGACTGCTGATGAGCTAACTTTACAGAATGCTAAATTTGGTATTGTGAATACTGTCCTGCCAGACGAAGTTACCGAACACTTATACCAGTATACCACCTATCTCCGCAAGGAATTCTCTACTAATAAGTTGAAAGAAGAAGTAATAAGTTGTACATTACTCTCTGATATACAAGCACCAGACCGCTTGTTAACTAGTATCGAACTAGGAGAAAAAATTACGTCAGAATACTTACGACACATGCGAACCATCGAAGAAGGCTGAGAAACTGATAAACAACTCCTATATCAAATCCAGATCAGATGACTGCCTAGAAGAATTCAAGAAGTTCTGGCTCTGGAAGGTAATGACATCAACTTCAATAACTTCACCACAATAGTCAGCCACGTGTTTTTGAGGTCAAGGCCTCATAAGGTAGATTCCACGAAACAAGAAACGGACACTCAAGATCAGAAACTGTATGCAATAGTTACAGTAGAATGACCACCTTGTCGCAGGACTCTAACTCAAATCTTGCCGCCACCCTGGGTTTTATTTCACCTTCAGTCCCGATGAACTACATCAACAACATTATGCCGAAGCAGTAAAATAATATGAATAATGAACTTATAGGAATAATAACAATGAAAATAAAAGGGGGGGGAGAAACTGTAACTTACAAATTTTTCTTTGTATGTTGTTGATAATGATATTGTTTAGAAGATGAAATCGAAGGATGAAGTAGAAGAAGGCGTGATAAGTAAAAACTAGTGAATGTTATATGTACAATCTCATCTGGTTTAGCTTTGAATGTGTATACTATGCATTCATACTGTTCAACTGTTCCATAAATCATGTTGTAGTTTGGGGATTTAAATGTTCCATTGGTGTGCAATTGACTGGTGAATAAATAACAACGACAATCTAAAGATGACAAAAAAGATGGAGAAATATGAGAGAAAATGAAAATCAGAGAGTTGTTGGAAAAATTTAGAGGCATGTTGTTAGATATCGTCCAGTGAAGCTATAGACCCGTTGGTTTTGTTCATGTTACTTTTACAATGATCTACAACTGATGAAAAGTTTCTCATGAGGTATTTAGTTGGTTAAAAGTTTGATTCTCTTAAAATATAAACGAAAGTTGGCAGAATGTGATATTAATTTGTTTATTAGATACAGTATACATTGTAACAGTACTATTTTTTTTTCCTTCACGTTCCCCAGTGGAACACGGGTCTTCAAGCTAGTGACTTTAAGTTTCTGTAGCAGTGTTTATTTTGCAGGATGGGGTTGCTCATGCCTCATGCCCAACTTTACTTCTTTACCAGCATTATTTCTAGATTAGCGAGGTAAAGGAGTGCGTCGGTGGCCGGGGATCGAACCTGGGACCATATGCATGGTCGGCGAGCGTCCTAACCGCTATGCCACCAACGCGTAGTACTATTTAATGGATGATATATTCAACACAGTTTCATTAAATTATATATCTGGTAAACAAATGAAAGCTTTACACAAGTACTAGCCAAAGGAGCATTCTTATTGTTGTTCCCTTAACTTCTAAGGGAAGCAAACGCCTTCATTATAGTAGCTTAAACTTTGTCCTCTTCTCTGTGATCCTATGCGGCTGGCTCTACGACTGCTCAAAGCACCTAATCGTCTCTTCACAAAACCTTCTCCATGTGACCCTCGGACTCAGCATTCGTCGTCCCTCATTCAGATTCCACTCGAGTGATGGCTTTGCCTGCAATGTCATTCGATGGTCACCTTAACTAGTGTCTTATCCATATGGATTTTCTTCTACATATATGTTGAAGGAAAGATCTTTGGTTGGTTTGTTCTCAGAGTTTCTTATGACTACAATATGTTGATTACCGAAACGTCGTCAGTAAATATTACTGTATAACACTGTAAGACTTTATCAAAATAAAAATTTTACCCACAGTGGAATTATACCCTACTAAAGTGCACAAGTTTTATTCTTATATTTCTTACGACTAAGTCTTTCTGACAGGTCATTTAATCCTCGGTATGGAGCTGGTGATGACAGCTGTTAATAAACGTCTGCAGTGACATGTTGCAAATGATTCTAACGACGCAATTGCCGAGTTTCTGACCCATTTAGAAGAAATGACTTACTTAATAATGGTGTTGAAAAACCTATTAGCAAATTAGTCAGAAAGTATGTAGGGAAATTTAAAGATACAAATAAAATAAATGATAGTAGTGATAGTGATAATGATAATAGTGATATTATTGACGACATGTATTTAAAACTTGCGCGAGACAACACCAACAATAAAGAATCTAAATCATCAGTAGTAATTCCATACAAGGAAGGAACCTCAGAAACCAGCTTACGCAGAATTCTTAACAAGGCAGGAATAAACGTGAATGGCATTCAAACCATCCACAAACTCAATTAGAAACAGACTTTGTCGGTTAAAGTATCCTGCAAGTGGAGCCTTTAAGACAAAACAATTTAGTTTATCTGATACCCTGCTTTCGATGATCGTCAGGTCAAATACATAGGTCAAACTAGTAGAACAAGGGCAGTCAGCCAGATTAGTCGAACATAAAAACCTGGAAAAACGTAGATTATTTGACTGGAATAAGATAAGTAATCTAGAGAATAGTTCAGCTATAGCACTACATGCAATAATACACAACCACACAATAGGATGGGATAGGATGACAGTTTCAAAATCTACTGTCATTGGGTGGAGGGAGGGAGAGATTGATAACAGAAGCTTTGTTTATCGAATCAACTGCAAATACATGTAATAGGAATGACTCAACACCTGTCCAGCCAGATATCTGGAAATGTCTACTACCTGTCCGACGACAAATAGGAGAAAACAGAGAAAACTATAAAACTCAAATTTCGAAGTTGTGTAATTATTCCCGAAGATATGAATATGAACAGCGGTAAGTTTTGTTGGAAACTTCGTCATCCAGTAAATTAAATAAATTTCACTGTGTGATACATCTAATAAACAAACCAATAGGGAGTTCAAAGTCCTAATTTGTTCTTAACGCTAACTGCAGAATTTTACAGCTATGTAGGTCTGTTTTGCTTTTCCAATTCTGGTTTCTGACATCAACATCCGCGCCTTCGCCTGTAGTTAAATCAACGCCGCATTGCAAGATAAGTGAAGAAAGTGACCTCTTTCAAATTTATTCCATTGATCGAGACTGTTGCTTGTTTTTTTGGGTTGGTTATTTTCATCATCTCTGTCTTTTCCAATGTTGACCTGAAATCCTGCCTTTGCTGCCTTTTCTCCCAGTGTGTTGGTATTTGCCTTTAGATCTTTGAGTCTGTGTGACATTAGACATAAATCATCCGTGAAATTCAGAATATAATCAAAACTAGTCACCATACTGGTAAGTCGTTTGCGTTTAGTCTTGAAAACCTCAACCTTACATGCCTACAATATTAGAACAGATTATGTATAGAACAGTATGGTTTCCTCAGAGGGTTTAGTGGTACAGCATTCTGAACATCTAACATAGGAATTCAGCTACGAAAGTTGAAGAGTTTTGATAAAGAAATAGTTTATCAAGATTCTTTAAATGTTTGCATGAGATAATAATAATAAAATACTTTCAAAATTTTTCTCCATACCTCCAAGTCATTATAAGCGTCCTGAAATATTTTCATTTTCGTCTGATAGAAGACAACCTTAAGTCTCAGAGCATCCTTCATTTCATAACACAAGTGCCATGTTAGAAGTGAGGTAAAGTTTGAATCAGTGTAATTTGAGTATTTGTTGTGAATATGAACTACCCATCTATCAAATACCAGCTAAGAATCTGAGTGCTTGATATTACTACTGCTAAAAATGTTTTCAAATCATTCCAAATAACTGAATTTATTTTATTTATTTGTGATTACAGCTTGATTCCACACTGTATTTTTGGTACAAGTATGGAATTTTCAGCATGAATATCGGAAGAGATATGCTTAAGAAAGATTTCGTTTATATTGTTAACGTCTGGTGAGAGTTTTGCAAAATAATCCACTAGTCTTGAATAATCACATAAGGTCACCATGATCTAGTTAATATCGTCACAACACTACTGTCTTTACATCTGGTCGTGTAGTTCTACACTAATCGAAATTAGTAATTCGTGGTTTAAAAAATAGATGTTGAGTAGATGAAGTCAACTGGTAAAAGGCTTCGGAAAGAGGTACTGAGGCTACTAGCCCTTATCATTTAGACATATCTACAACTTTCAGGGAAGTGATGATGATTCTGGGATTTCAATCCACCTCATAAAATACCGCAACTAAAAATATTAACTCTGAGTTTTTAGTATGTTCATTCCATGTGTTGTTTCACAGGAACGAGTTTTTAATTTGATGATTATTGGTCTCAAGTTCGATTACGGATTGATATCAGTTAGAGAAGCACTGAAATCTACCAGGGAGCAATGTAATGCTGTTTTGTCCTGGTTTCTGACTCATCGATAGTACACACCCGCCGCCAGGGTGTAAAGCCACAACTTTCCAGTTACAAGATAAGCTTATAAACCACTCACAAACACTGAAACCCAACTCAATAGACAACAAATTCCAGCTTTTACTAATTCATGATTTTGGTGCAAGTGGCACTAGCCAGGGTTAATGCTGGAGAATGTTTGTCCTCCCTCATGAACGAATGCATTCCACTTGGCACCATTTCTAACAAAAACTCGATTCAACTAGCGAGCTAAATATATGATCAAACACAGAACAAATCAAATCGATATAAACATGATGGAGAAGATTTGAGGTTCCGTTGGCTGACCTGGACGCGGTTGTGTTCTCTGAGCTGGATAGTTCATTTGATAAGCTTTCATTGCCCTACTGAGCAAAATCTTCAGTGCATACTTCAATTTTATTGAAGTGAGCTTTTAGATGTCTCATCGAGTTCACTATTATTCATATATCCTGGTGACCATGAACGTGATTCGTTGTTTTTGTGTGCTTTCACACCTTCTAGGCTACTTGTATTGGAACTGATTGTTTCTTTGACTTACACTTTGACCCTTTGTGTGTGAGATTTCCTTCTTATCGGTTGCTGAATTTCGTCTATCTCGATGTGTCTATTGATTGACGGTTCACTGGAATACCAGGCTGGCTTCTAAAAATTTTCAAGTATTCTCGGTGTTTCTTTCGTTAAGTATTTGAATGTTGTCCCAGTCGAGTTGATGTCCGTGGTTGTCTGTATGTAGTTATATAAGGGAGTGAACATCCCCTTCATCTTCGTATACAAGATCATTAGCTAGCCGTCAAAAGACATGATATCCACTCCCTCATGTCACTACATACAGACGACCACGGACATCAGTTAGACTAGGACAACCAGCATTCTAATATAAGACAAAGGAAACACCTAGAATACTGGAGAATTTTTAGAAGCCAGCCTGGTATTCCAGTGAATCATCAATCAATAGACACATCGAGATAGACGAAATTCAGCAACCGATAAGAAGGAAATCTCACACACAAAGGGTCAAAGTGTAAGTCAAAGAAACAATCAGTTCCAATACAAGTAACGTAGAAGGTGTGAAAACACACAAAAACAACGAATCACGTTCATGGTCACCAGGATATATGAATAATAGTGAACTCGATGAGAAATCTAAAAGCTCACTTCAATAAAATTGAAGTATGCACTGAAGATTTTGCTCAGTAGGGCAATGAAAGCTTATCAAATGAACTATCCAGCTCAGAGAACACAACTACAAACAAATCATAATAAGCTTACTCTTGATATGTTCTTTAGTCTTTTTGTCAGACTCAGTCAAATGCCTAATTCACTAAGTAGCACTGAAAAGCTTATATATATATATATATAACATGTTATGCCCCTAAACAAATTTCCGTATGAATATAATACTGTTTTTCGGTATAGGTGAGTTCTTTCAACCTCATAAAGTCA